CTTCCCCCCCAATCTGATATTCAAACTTTCCTCACCAAAACTTTTTGTTAAACCCCCTAAAACCCTTTCTCTTTCCTGTATTAAACCCTTTAAAAATTTTTCCCTTTTTCACACCCTACCAAATTCATCCCCAATCTCTGCAACTTCTCTTTCCCGAATCTCCCCAAAAGCACAGTGTCATCAGCAAAGAGCAGCTGTGACAACCCCACTTTGTGTGGGATTCTTTTTCTTTTTAAAATCCAACCCCCTCTTGCCAAACCCTCGCCCTTTACTTACTTAAAACCCACTATAAATAAATTAAAAAAAACCCGGGACATCACACAAACCTTGTCTAAGGCCTACTTTTAAATGGGAAAAAAATTTTCCCTTTCCTACTCTCTAACTTTGGGCCCCACTAACCCCGTAAAAACTCTTTTACTTTCTTTTTAAATAACCCCTCCTGAAAGCAGTGAAGGGTTTTTCGAGGATAGTTAGGCTTTAAGTTTTGAGTAAGTAGGAAAAAAGGGAAAAATTTTTTTTAGTAAAAGTAGGCCTTTGACAAGGAAAGTGGATTTTCACCGTGGTTGTTTAATATATTTATGATTGGGGGTTTTAAGAGAAGTAGTAAGGGAAAAAAAAGTTTGCATATGAAATTTTTTTCAAAGTAGAAGTATTTCAAAGGGGGGAAGGTATATGGGAAAAAGAGAGAGGTTAAGAAAGTGGTGAAGCAATGTAAAAAGAGAGCCCAAAAGAGAGAGTGGGGGGGGTTGGGGGGGTTTATCAAAAATTTTGTTGAAAATAAGAAAAAGTTTTGGGGTGAGATTAACAAGTTAAGAAAGCCTTTGAGAACAAATTGGGGGTTTTTTCCCGTTAAAAATGGGGGAGAGTTATTTTAAAAGGAAAAGTTAGGTGGGATTTGGGGGAAATGGAAAGGGGAAATTTTTGAGGAATTGTTAAATGTTGATGAAGATAGGGGAAAGGGGGGGGATTTTTGTGTATAGGGGGGAAGGGGGGAACAACATCTTTTTAGGAGGAGGGGAAAAGCCCGTTGGGAGTGTGGGGGAAGTTCGTGAGGCAGTAGGTAAAAAAGAAAGGGGGGTTTGGCAGCCGGGATTGGTGGGAAAAAAATAGAAAAAGTTTTTAAAAACAGGGGGGAATTTTTTGGAAATGGTTTGTGCAATTATTTTAAAAGATGTATGGAAAAGGGGAAGGTACCTAGGGGTTTGGGAGGGGAGCAAATATGTTTCCCTTTTTATAAAGGGAAAGGGGAAAAAGAGAGTTTCCCCAAAAAATTTTTAGGGGGATAAGTCTGGTTGGGGTATACCTGGCAAAGTGTTTTTTGGTAAAAGTTTTTATTTAAAAAATTAAAGAATTAAAGGGGGCTTTTGGAAAAAGGGAGGGGGGGGTGGAAGGGGTTTAAAAGTGAAACATATAAGTGAACAGTATTTAGAAAAGGGTAAAGGGTTTTGTGGCATTTATGGATTTTGGGAAAAAGGGTTTTGGGCAGGGTGGATTTGGGGGGGAATTTTGGCAGATGTTTCAAGTTAAAGGTTTTAGGAGGGGAGGTTACTGAAAGCAGTGAAGAGTTTTTAAAAGAGGAAAGTGAGGCTCCCAAATTTGAGTATGAGAAAAGAGGGAAAATTTTTTCCCAGAAAAAAAAGGCCCTTTGACAAGGATGTGGTTTTTCCCGTGGTTGTTTAATATATTATAGTGGGGTTTTAAGAAAAGTAAAAAGCGAGGGTCTTGGCAAAAGGCGTGGGGTTTTAAAAAAAAAAGAATCACACACCCGGGGGGTTGTCACAGCTGCCCTTTTTGATGACAGGTTTCCTTGGGAGATTCCCGAAGAAAGCTGCAGGATTGGGGATGAATTTGGTAGGGGGGTGCAAAAAAAGAAAATTAAAGGTGAATACAGGGAAAAAGTAAGGTTTTTGAGGATTTAAAAAAAAAAGTTTTGGTGAAAGAAAATTGAATATTTAGTTGGAGGGAGAGGGGGAAAGGAGGAGGGGGAACGTTTTCGATATTTGGGAGGGGAAAGGTTTTTCAGCGGATGGGGTCTATGAAAGAGGGGGTGAAAAAATAAATTTTATGAGGGAAAAAAAGTTTAGTGGTGCACTTTTGGGGTCTGTGGAGACAGAGAACTTTTTCCTTGGAGGCAAAGAGGGGAAAACTAAGAGAGTATAGTTTACCAAGCTCTTAAAGGGTGTAAGCAAAGGGGGGGGATAAAAGTTTCAGCGAGGAGAAGGCTGGAGGCAGTGGGGGGGGTTTTATGTCCTGAGGGGAATGTTGGTTTTGTGAAAATAATGCAGAGAATTCGGTTTTTTGAAGTTTGGAGGAGGTGGGGATTACCCCCAAAATGTTGTCCAGAGGGGTGAAGGGAAAGGGGTTTTTGAGGTTTGGGTTTGGCCCTGGGAGAGAGAATGGACCGAAACAGAAAAAATTTTAAGAGTGTAAACAGTCTGTAGTGGAAGGAAGGCGGGGTAAAGGGGCCCCCTAGGAAGGGGTTTGGGGGGGGGGGTATAGGAGGTTTTTTGTGCGAGGGGCTGGACTTCCCGCAGGGATGCGTGAGCGTTTTTTGATAGGAGGGAAAAGGAACAAATGGTTTTTAATACTTACGGCTGTTGGGGTGTGGGAAAAATAACAATTAAGGGATTCAGGGAAAAAAAGGGAGGGCCGGGCTTTAGTCCCGGAGATGGGAAGTACAGGGCCTGCACTCTGAAGGGGGGTGTTAAAAGTTGCAGTTTAAAAACGTAGTGTTTAAAACACCCTTCTGGCAAGACAATGATGGAGTGAATGATGGGGAAAGTTTTTCTTTTTTTGGGCCCCCTTCCTTTGGGGGAATGGCCATGTGATAAAAATAATAAAAGTTAAGAGTAAACGGAGAATAAGGGTAGCCCAAAGAACAAGGGGTTTAAAGGGAAAAGGGAGGGGGGGTTTGGACCAGGGTTTACAGGGAAAAAAATAAGTGAACATTTTTTAGATAAGGCTAAAAAAGGTCTTTGTTTGGGATTTTATGGATTTGGAAAAGGCATATGAAAAGGGGGGATAGGGGGGGAAAGTGGAGATGTTGAGGTGTATGGTGTAGGGGTTACTTTAAAGCATGAAGAGTTTTTAAAAGGAAATGAGGCCAAATTAGAGTATGTAGGAAAGAGGGGGAAAATTTTTTCCCCGTAAAAGGGGGGGGGTCTTAGACAAGGGTGGTGGGTGTCCCCCCGTGGTTGTTTAAATATTTATAGTTTGGGGTTTTTTAAAAAGAAGTAAAAGCGAGGGTTTTTGGCAAGAGGGGTGGAGTTAAAAAAAAAAAAGAACCCCACTTAAAAGTTTGTTGGAAAATTGGGCCAGTTTGGGGTCCTTTTCTGATTTACACTGTCTCTTGGGGGATTTTGAGAGAAATTGCAGAGATTGGGGGATAATTTTGGGAGGGTGTGCAAAAAAAGAAAATTTAAAGTGAATACAGGAAAGAGTTTAAAGGGTTTTGAGGTAAAAAAAGTTAGGTGATGAAAGATTTGGGTATCAAAAAATTTTTGGGAGAGGGTATGGAGGAGGTTTAAAGTATTCAGATATTTGGGAGTGGATTGGTTTAGCGGATGGGGGCCATGAAAAATAGGTGAATCATAGAATTTTATGAAGGGGGAAAAGGGGGGAGTGGGGCACTTAGGAGTCTGTGGGGGACAAAAAAACTTTTTCCCCTTTGGGGGCAAAGAGGGGAATGGGATGAGAGTATGTTTTACCACGCTCTTATTGGGGGTGAAGCATGGGTGTGAATTTGCAGCGAGGAGAAAAGGTGGGGGGAGTGGAGATGTCATGTCTGAGGCAAAAGGTGGTGTGAATATAATGCAGGGGAATTCGTTTGTTTTTTAAGTTTTGGAGGAGGGGGCCGGGGTTACCCCAAAAATGTTTGTCCCCGAGGCCTAGGAAGGGTTTTTTTTAGGGGGTTCGGACATGTGGAGAGAAGGGGGCGAAAAAAAGAAAACTTCAATAGGTTTTACATCCCGTAGTGGAAGGAAGGTGGGGTAAAAAGGGGACGGCCAGGAAAGGTTGGAGGGAGGGGGGAAAGGGGTTTTTTGTGCGAGGGGTTGGACTTTCCCGCAGGCAGCGTGAGCGTGTTTATGGAGTAAATGGAGACAAATTTGGTTTTTTTTAAAACTTGATGTGGTGGTTGGAAATGTGAGCAAAGTAACATTTATGAAGGGGTTCAGGGAAACCGGCAGGCCGGACTTGAGTCCTGGAGATGGGAAGTACAGTGCCTGCACTCTGAAGGAGGGGTGTTAATGTTGCAGTTAAAAAACTGTAGTGTAAAGCACCCTTCTGGCAAGACAGTGATGGAGTGAATGATGGTGAAAGTTTTTCTTTTTCAGGCCACCCTGCCTTGGTGGGAATCGGCCAGTGTGATAATAATAAAAAAAAAAAAAAAAGAATTAAATCTAGCGGAATGAAGGCGAAGTAGGAGTCATCCTAGGAAAAGTTGGATCGAGGGGGTAAAGGTGGTTTTGTGTGCAGGGGGCTTAGAATTCCCACAAGCATGTGTGAGCATGTTAGATAGGAGCGAGTGGAGGCAAAGGGTTTTTATAACTTGATGTTCTGTTGGAGTGTGAGAAAAGTAACATTCATGAAAGGATTCAGGGAAACTGGTTAGCTGGACTTTAGTCCTGGAGATGGGAAGAGCAGTGCCTGCACTCTGAAGGAGGTGTGGAGATATGTTGCAGTTTTTTAACTATTATCAGCATGCCTCTGGCAAGACAGTGATGGAGTGAGTGATGATGACTGTCTCTTCTTTTGCGGGTCACCCTGCCTCAGTGGAAAATGGCCAATGCTTAGAACACTTGCAGATGTTCATTTATAAATTGACCAGCAGTAATTTATGGCATTCTTACTGAAAATATGAAAGCTGTTTAATGAGTATTAGTGATGTTTTCTAAGTATTGTCACCCAATGATCTTTTATCAATATGACCTGATATTTAAAGAAACAGTGGAACCACTGATACTAAATATGTTTTCTAAAATATCTCCACCATTCCACAGTATTGGGTGAGTATGCTTTAGCTCAGCATGCTTTAATCAAAGCCTGCGAGTGCCAGCCAAGTGCTGTCACGTGGACTCACCTTGGGGCATTTTACTTGACTCACAATGAATCTCACCTGGCTCATGAAGCATTTTCACAAGCACAAGCTTTGGATCCTTCCTTCATTACTTGCTGGGTCGGTCAGGTAAGAAATAATGATTTGCAACACTAGTTTTCATAATTTTGGTACAGCAGTATTTATATTTTAGATTAGTATATTCTATATATATTTTAATGGTTTGCCAGTAATGTACTGAATGCTACATCCCAGTGAATAAATTTAAAAAAGTAGTTTTGCTTGAAATATTTCTGAGCCTTAATTAACCCTTTCACTTCCTCCCCAATCTCAGAGGAAGCATGAAAACACATTGCCACTCTGGAAATTCACAGTGTAAGTGGCAGCAACCCTTTCAAGCCCCTTCCTCCACACCAACAACCTCCACATTAACCCCCTAAATGCCATATACCTTTTCAATCCAATCTGTAACCCTAACCCACAACCTCACTTCCACCCCACCACCTTCATCCCTTTAACCTCATCCCCATCTATTTTCCCATCCACCCACCCACTCTCCCATCTTTCTCCACTTGCCCATCCTCCACCATTTGCCCATCCTCCACCATTTGCCCATCCTCCACCATTTGCCCATCCTCCACCACTTGCCTATCTTCAACCATTCTCCCAAGTCCCACGTCACTACAATTTGCACCACACACTGAAGTACCCCTCTATCCCTCCCAAACTCCACTATTCCCCCTACCCTCAGACTGATGCTGAAATTTGAGTGCAATGGGGAGACAAAATGGAAGCAGAGTCCATATAAGTGATCCATCACAAATATTACAAAGCTGTTTCAGTAAATCACTTGGTCAGTCTGTCTAAAGTTAAGAGACAGTTCCAGCCTACTTTCATTCCCTGCAAACTCTAATACAGTTGGTAAAAGATTAATAAGATATAGGTAATTATCATTTATATTTATGTGTGAAAAACAGTGTAATAACACATACATACAAAAGCTGAAATTGTGTGAAGTCTCATATATTTACATTATGGATGCTCCTTAACTTTTGGATGCTTTAAGCTTGCTTATTTATTCAGGACAGTGCTGTATTGAAACTGGGTATACCTATTGTTTCTTTGGAATGATGTACAAGGGATCCTCAACCTACCATACTAAGGCCCAAATTAAATTAAGGGTGAGCTATTCGTATGAACGTCTGCTCCGTTGTTTACCGTTAGATTTCCTCCAGTTTTGGTGCACAAAACAAAGTGTTTTCACTCTTTCCTGAAAATATTTATCAAAAATATACCTCAAACAACAACTGAAAAATGACTGATTTACTGAAGATGCCATTTGCCCCCGAATCATTTCTATATGGGACAACGTAAGGTTGTTTGGACACTTGGTGCCGAGAGAACAATGCTAATACGAATTTCTAATATTCTTATATCCTCTAAATGTCTTATCTTTATTTCACAAAAAAATAAAGTTTATTAGTACTTGGAATGTTGCAAAAAAATCTGCCCTTTACTCCCACATAACTCCCAAAGTATTTGGAATATTTCCAAAGTTATTTCATTAGAAAATAGAGAAATCATTATTCTACAATTTCTGTGAATATTATTCCATTTAATTAAGTAATAACATCGTAAAATGTCGGCATAAATGAATAAGTTCCGAGATATTGGCCTGGAGTGCCGGATGATCCGCCGTCTCGAAAAAAAAAAATCGCGTTTGTTTGGGTGTATTTCTTAGTAAACTGGTGTTCTGGTACAGTTATCCTCTTCAACACACAGTTTTCTATCATTGAAGACCAAGTCATACAACAAGAAGTCGAGGGGTAACAATTTTATATTGAATATTACTGGTGGATTCTCGCCATATTATGGCCTATTTTATTCAGTCTAGAGTATATAACATGTTTGTATGTTATTTATAGTGTTTATTATATCATATTAGATCAATTCTGATAGATAAATAAGCCGTAGAGTTGATATATAAGCGTAATAACTGGAGCCGAACATTCCCATATGGTGCCTGGTTGGCTCCAAGTCTACGGATAAGCTCCGCCTACTGTTTTATGATGCCAAATAGTCAGTTATTATACTAGAAAGAATAATGCAAGAAAAAGCGATACAAAACAAGGAAAAAATTCCAAAAAAGATATGGGCCGTGAGCAGATGCGCTACCCATATCGCCGTCACCTTACCTGATATAAATGACTATAATTTCTTGTAGAAACGTCGTAGGACATTGATTCTTGTACCATTGTGTTGCCAAAGAGTTAAGCTATTTTTCTGTATGAATAACTCAATTTCCATAATTTTTCGATTATTTTGGAGAGCACGTGAATTGTCGAATATTCCACCCTTAAACTGCAGTTCTGAGCAAAGATATACAAAAATTTATAGCAATTATTTGTATTGTTTCATTTTGAAAAATAGTTTATGAATTACAGACAACTCATTCTTTAGTTGGGACTTTCTGTATTTTTTTGCTTTTATGGCTACCATCTGTGTTCTGTAATTAGTGATAACACACTTAACAGCCACACTGAACAACAAGAGAATTTTATATTGGTTACACAAGAGACCCTTCTAAGGGCATGTGTTAATGCTTGTATAGTGTTCTTGATACAAAGACTTGGAGTTGCACTCTCCTTCCTTGGTTTAAGCCTGATGCCCTTTCATTGCCCTGGTTCTTTATGGCTCCTCTAGGTTTAGTGCTAAATCATAAATTTAACATTAGCAATACACATGTTGGCAAATATCACTTTACATTGTTTTCATGATCATTATTAATTTTCAGGCTCTTGTTGCCGAGAGTGTGGGTCATTCTGAAGCATTTGATCTCTTCCGTCACACAACTTTGCTTGGCATTCATTTAGAAAGTTGTATAGGCTATACCCATCATGTGATGGAACTGGCATGTGATGCAAAGAAGCAAAGTAATGTGCGGACTCAACATGTCATTCAACAAGCAATTCCCCCAGCAACTGACTCTATGGTCTTCTATTCTCGGTTAGTGTATCCTGTTAATTTTATAAATACCTTCATATGTCACTTTTTTATTGAAAACAGCACAGACTAACCTATTCATCTTAGTCCTCTGTAACTTTAAAATTTTATTCCTTCCATCTACAGTATGTCTTTAATGATTTTATATCTGGAGAAATTTGTTCACTGTTTTGTTACTGTGTTTTGATCTTCAGTTACTTTGGTTGTATTTTTAACCTCAAGTCTTTAGAGCAAGAGTCATGAAACCCAACATGGGTTTGATGACTCTTGATCTTAGAGTATTGTCATTAGGTTGTCAGAGGAAAATTGCCTCACATAAATCTTTCATAAGATGACCCTGTCAGTGATGCCAACCCTCTGGCAGGGGTGGAGGTTGGGTAGCCATGGCAGCCTGTAACTGCAAATTGCCTTAATACTACTTATTCTAGAACAAATTTCCTGTATGACCTATATGGGTTTAGTGTGTGGATTTTTAAATACAGTGGACCCTCGGATTACGTCATCGTCGGATTTCGTAATATTTGGAATAAGTAACTTACTTTCGTCAAAATATTGGCTCGGTGATCGTCATTGAACTCTGTATTAGTCATTTGTCCCGACGTGTCCTCACAGTCCAACACACCATTTACAACCAGTGTGCCATTGTTTATCAGCCAGTGAGTATGATCCCACTCATTGTATTATTCCATTCTTTCTAGTGCTTTTAACTGCTAAATAAGCCACCATAGGCCCAAAGAAACCTTCTAGTGCCAGCCCTTTGGTAAAGAGGGTGAGAAACACTATAGAATTCAAGAAAGACATCATTGCAAAATATGAAAGTGGAGTGCATGTCACCGAGCTGGCCAGGTTGTATAACAAACCCCATACAACCATCGCTTCTGTCGTGGCCAAGAGAAAGGAAATCAAGGAAGCTGTTGTTGCAAAAGGTGCAAATATGCTTACAAAACAGAGATTGCAAATACTGGAAGATGTGGAGACTGTTGTTGGTGTGGATCAATGAGAAACAATTATCAGGAGATACTGTTATGCAGTCAGTAATTTGTGAAAAGGCAAGGCAGTTGCATGAAAATCTTATAAAGAAAATGCCTGGAACTAGTGATGATATTGGTGAATTTAAGGCCAGCAAAGGCTGGTTTGAGAGATTTAAGAAGCGTAGTGGCATACACAGTGCGATAAGGCATGGTGAGGCTGCCAGTTCTGACAAAAAAAAAGTGGCTGAAAAATATGTTCAGGAATTGAAGGGGTACATAGAGGCTGTAAAATTCAAACCCGAACAAGTGTTCAATTGTGACAAAACAGGCCTCTTTTGAAAGAAAATGTCAAAGAGGACCTACATTACTCGGGAGGAAAAGGCACTCCCAGGACACAAGCCTATGAAAGACAGGCTAACTTTCATGTTTTGTAGCAAT